CGAAAATCTTGACGCCGAAGTAGTTGATCACGATAATTGCCAACATGAAGATGGCAATCCAAACACCTGGATTGACATTCTCTGCTGATGTTTTCGGCCAATAGGTAATGACCAGAGCAGCGGCGGTAAGTTGTGTAGGTGGTAGAATAATATATTTGAGGTAGTAGCTAGGAAAGGATTAGATTTTCAGATTTATATCAGCATGAGAATGGATTTTACTCACCACCATCCGAGGGTAAATCCGAGAGCAGGGTCACAGAAACGGCCAGCGTAACCAGTGAAACCGGAGGACAAGGGTAGCCACGCAGCCATTTCACCCAGTCCACACATGACGGTCCAAACGACGAAACCCATAAAGCAGTAGGCAATAAGCAAAGATCCAGGCTGATTAGGAATGTTAGTCAACGGCAAAAGATAAGTTGGGTGAATCTAACATACTCCGGCTCTAAAGTTGACAGTCAGCATTGTTTCATAAACAGTTATATCAGAAAAACTCACGTCAAAGCGCTGCCAGTACCAACAACCAATCCAGTACCAATGGCACCACCGATGGCAATCATAGAAATGTGACGAGCCTTGAGCTCTCTGCGAAGCTGAACTGGCTCATCCTGTTCGGTTTCTTTGAAATCCCCCGAGTTGTCATTGTAGTTAGGCTGCGCCTCGAGAGCGTTAATCTCGTCTGGGTGACCCATCTTGCTATAGGCCGAACCGAGAATGACAAGATGAAAAGAATTGATCAGACTCTGAGAACACCGGGGGCCACGCGGATTAAATGGTCCAGCCCAGCGCACAGTTTTTAAGCGAATTCCGGGGTCACATTTTACGGTTATCTATGTATCTCCTCTTTCGCCCCTTCCAGTAGTGGAGACAAAATCCTGGAGAGGCCATGTGGGGTATGTCAGGTTCACGATTCAGTATTTCCCTCACGTAATTTTTTCTTCGAGAAGTGGATAAACTGTCAATTTGCGGATATATTTCGGGGGCCTTCGGGGCAATGAGTGATCTTATTGGTCTTACATTTTCTCCAACTCATTCCCCCGCAATATATCTCCCCACAGAATTGAATGCATGACAGTAGGAAATAGTCTCCCCAATTGTTCAATGTGTTCGTATTTTTAAAGTTGTTCCTGGGCCCGCTTAGAAGGTCCTATCCAAACCTTGGAAGGGTTAACATAGCCTCTCTCCCAATATATGGTCCGGTGAATGTGCCAAGTGCGCCAACACTGGGTGGTTGTGGTGGTACGCTTGGCACTCTTGGCACGCTTGGCACGCTTACTGTCGGGTGCCTTCCTGGCTCTAGATAATAAGAAAATTCTCTACTAAATGATACCGAGATCTATATGCCGGCCCACATGGTCAATTCCTTATCAGTGATCTCCCTATCATGTTTCACTTATTTTCTGTGTGACTGTAAGGCTGCCTAGAACATTGGAAGATAAAAGGCATATTGTTAATATTTTAGGGCAATTACATTGCCTAACAATATGCTTAAAAAGTCAAAGACGGGAAGGGAAGTAAAGTTAATGTGTTTAACATGGGCTCAGAAAATCTTCCCCACAAGTAATTTAGTAATAGATATCACCAACCTTAGACCTCAAGAGGCTCCTCTGACCATGATAAGGAGTCTTGGCCAAGTCCCTAACGCACGAAAGAGGCGGCTGACTTGGTGAATGTAGGCGGATGGCCAAGAGTCTCCACAGAAATAAATTACTTGAGCCAGTGGGAATTGCTATTATTATGTTGTTATAGCAAATGCGCCCCTCTTTACGGCTTAAAAGACCACCAAAGTCTACAGAGTTTCCAAGAACTTTCCTGTCTGGGCGCAAATATTTCTCTTTTAGCTTTTGGAAGGCAAACATCGTGAAAAAAGATTTAAAAAATTAAACAAAAAAAAACAAAAAAAACAAAAAAAACGCAACCCGCTTACGCCAAGTTCTTTATCAGTTCAGTTTATGGCTCGAGATAGTGCACGGTAGATCGCCGCATTCGGGCCATGGCTAAACCGCTAGACTAGAACCTTACCTCTTTTCCAAAGAACATCTATCTCTTCCTTCGTAAAATTCCGGGTCCTGAGGCAAAATCCCGAGGCCGTGCACGACGCTTTTCAATTACGTTTACGTCTGCAATGGGTAGTGGCTAATATTAACATTAAGCTTTCTGTTTGAGTAACGGGCTTTTAAACATAGAATTATGCTTATCATCAAGTTCCTTATAAGGATCTTAGCTACGTTCCTATTTTAATACTTCTTTTTAACAGTCTTAGGAACCTTAGCAGGTTTAGAGTTTAGATACTTCGGTTTCAATTCGAAGCCGGGACATCTACTTAGTGAGTCCTCTTAGAAAGTCATAAGGTTTTGTAAAGATGTTGTAGATATATATGTGACTACGCAGAGCAGGAGAAGAAGCAGAGATATGTAGGAAGCTGGATCTACCTGCTCTTATAGAGCTCTCTATATGGCTCCGTAGACACAAGAAGGGATATGACTATCTGCAGGCAAGCAAGCAAAGCATCCCTGTGCAATGTGCCTCGCTACACTAAAATGTCATTGATCGTCAGGGTAAAAGCCTATCAACTCTATGTTGAGAATCCCAGTTAAGTTCCTGGTAATTTACATGGAGTCTAGTCTGGTTACCGTATCCTGATGCATGAACGGTAAAGACAAATAGAATATTGAATGGCCAATCCCACTGTCCTCCATCAATAACCCAGGCAAAGTACAGATTTTTTCAATAGCTATAGCGAAACAGGGGATCTTGGATATATGTGAGATCCTCCTCTGCAGACTGAATCATTGGATCGTGTGCCCCTTGGTTATACTTATTCCTTCGGAGATTTTCCCGGCGGCATAAGTACCAGTAAATCCCCACGAAAACGACCAAAAGACACCACCACGTAACGGTAACGACACTTTCGAAAAGCCTTGGGGCATTCTTGGTTTTCCATAGTTGTGGTCCCGCAATGCAACCAACACAGTATCTGATTAAATAAAATGTGTTAACCATAGCTCTCTTTGTATTTCCTTTCAAGTTTGACGCACTCAGACTCAACAAGAGAGCCATGACATCCGATATACACGATGTCTATCACTCAAAACCAGCTTTATGCATCTTGTTCTAGTTGATGACTTGGACTTGCAAGCCACGAGGAAACAATAAGACCCTGTCCACTTGTCAGGGGAAGTTTTAGCAGCAGCACGTTACCAAAGAGAGGAGGGATGGCGAGGAAGATTATAATCAGACATCGCTTATTGGGAAGAGCAATGCATGCAATCCCTCCCACCCAAATCGTCATAATCTGCACTGCTCCAGATGGGGAGGTGAACAACATAGACTAGAACTTATTGTAGTTGAGGTTTTTGATAATAAGTGAGGTGAATTTGGACTAGTTAGCAATGTTTGTTCACTGAAGGTGCGGACAGATCGAGGAGATAGGCTGTAAGGACTGGCGATTGCAAAGTTGCAAGAATACTGAAAGCGAAGAAAAAAGATGACCGCACATCTACTAGAGTTTCCATCTGGATAATGGAGAAGTTCAATTTATCTCCCCCCTCGTTGTCCTAGGCTATTCTGGCCAACAAAATTCCGCGCTCTCTTTCCGTTAGGAACCCTGCTTCTTTAGGCCCCGAGGGCATAATTAAATAAAATTTAAAGCCGAATGCTGCTGTCAGCGCCCTGCAGAACAGAAACAAGCTTCTCCAGGGAGCAATGTGAGACCTGGCCATCTTACCAATGCCATACATGAGAAAATCACCGAGAACCGGGGCCAACCCATTCATGGTAATCCGGATTCTATAAACTTTTTAGCTCTTAAAAAATTACTTTCTGATGCCCTCGAGGCCCAACTCTGGTGGAGTGTTCGTGCTTTCGATACCGCATACTAGTAATTGTCTGCAGGCGACACAGCTCCTTCCATGAGACCAAGAAGGAACCGCACAGCACCAAATCTAGCGAAGGTTGTGGGCGCTGCAAGGCATATACATACACCACCCCGTGGTATATTGTGTTGGAATGATATCAGAAAAGCCTGCAGTGGAGGGTTGGTTATAGACTCACATCGTGCTGCCTACAAATTTCGCTAATGGGAGTCGGCTCATAAGGCAATCACTGGGTATTTTGCAACTAATTGACCTTGGGTCATGTTAGCTGATATGCAGAATACACGCCCTAAATGAAACATTTGTGCATACTGAGATAAAAGAGAGATGAGCACCAGGAGTACTCTGGCCCCTTCAAGGAAAGGTCGTCGATTAGACCAAACACAGATGCATAGCTCAGGCTCTATTTGTCCAGGTCTTCTAAGGTCAGCAAATGTTTTCGTACTCAATTTCTGGGGTTGGCCTACATTGAAAAAAGAAGACTATACAAAGCTGTTTTTATAAAGTTAATTGAAGGAGGACTAATAAATATCCCTTAAGGTCCGTACCATTGGACGAATCACAAAGTCAATCTTCCTGGTTACCTTTCTTTCCTCCTCCTCCTCCTCCTCCTCCTTCGAGAAATGGACGTTAATAACTCCTGGGGGAATACTGATCTTATGAAGTTAATCCTCTTTATCATCTTTGAGATAAGATATCATGATTGATTGAAATGACTGGTGCTTGACAGGCGTTAGTAGTGAATAATACCTCTAATAAGATGAAGGGAGTAAGACATTGCACCAAGGTAAAGCGGTACCATATTATAAAGAACTAACAGCTGTACCTGCCTATTGATTAGTTTGACCCCAGATAATATCAAGTCCAAGCGGAACTTTATATTGCAGGGTTTCCAAGGTTAGTTTGCATCTAAGATAGCGATCTCTCCCGCTGCCCAGTGCGCTCCCTGCGTTACCTCCGGATCTAATCCGGGATCATATCGGTTTTGGATCCAAGAGGAGCTTTTACAGGGGAAACGGGACAAAAGGGACAGTGCCATCTCTCGCACGTGTGTGTAATGGTGTCCCAGAATGCCTTGAAGCAACTCGGGATGAGCTACGACAAGGAGCGGACTCTATCAAAATCATGTGTGGAGGTGGTGTTGCCACTCCATCAGACGCTTTAGACATGCTTCAATTCACAGCAGAGGAGATTCGTGCCATCACCACAATTGCGAAACCATCCAAGACTGATGTGACGGCACACGCATACACCGTGGATGCTATTCGCCACGCAGTTTACAATGATATCCAGGGAATAGAGCATGGGAATTTCATTGAGGAAACTGCTACTTACGGCAAAGAGAAAGGCGTAACTTTTACTCCAATACTGGCCACCTACCAAGGGATAACACAGGCCCAATTTGACCAATTCCTCGACGAATTTGGTCAGAAAAAGAACCTCGAGGTCCTAGCAAGTGGGCTGGGTGCATTGAAAATCCTACAAAAGGCTGGAGCAATCATCTGCTTTGGGTCGGACTTTCTAGGTGGACTATATCCTCTCTAGAATTAGGAATTTTCGACCCGATCAGCTGCTTTGACGCTGAAAGAGATTCTTCAATCTGCTATAATCAATGCTGCACGGTATTTGGGGAAGGAAGGAGAACTGGGTTGCATCAAGACCGGGAATATTGCCGATATCCTCATTCTGAAGGTCAATCCACTGGATGATATTGCAATTTTGGACAGGATCTAGGACAAACTTGTGGCAATTGTGAAAGACGGCCGTATCGTGTTCACGCTCCATCTGGTTATCAGTTGATCCTCAGTATAGCCCATGCCTTATTGAGACCTCGTGAAGCCTGTTTCAGGAACTGGAAGGATGAAGATGGAAACATTGGTTTATTTTCCTTGCGTAAATCTGCTGTTAATTCCCTTAAGTATATCAGTTCCGCGATTTGATGGGCTTAACTTCTAGAACTTGTATCCTGTGAACATTATGTACATATATTTCTAACATCTTATGTGGCCTATAAAGGTCGACATATTTCTTATATTTGGCTCATATTAGTCTTATGCTCAATTCATGTTTATTGCTACGAGCCCGTCTAATACCGGATTGACTCCACAACAAGAATACATGCGGCCTCTATCCTTGAAAATGTACGACTTGAATAATTTGATCGATTTGGCCCAGGGTGACATTAGGGAATTTATATTTAAGAACATACCGCCGTGCTTTTGGATGTCCTCTTCAGATGTAGGCAGATAAATGTATGTATACAAAGCGGTAAACCGACCATAACCCTAAATAGGAACTTTTCCATGGAGAACCAGGGATGACCGAACGGCTATATAAATTCCGGTTGTAGGCAGAAGAGGATTTTTCTTCTCCTACATGGTTCTCATTCTTTCTCATCACAGGTCAATATCATGGGAAGCATACTAATCTCGGCGTTGTTCGCACTTCCACCCGAGATCCAGTTAATCCACACTATTTGAGCATTAATGAGCACACTCTGAGCGAACTTTCAAAGTCATCACTCTGTCCAAAGATGGTGTGCAATATATGTTGTATCTCAGTGCTAAGTGAACAGGACCTTGAGCGCATAAAGCGGCGGCATCTCGATCGGGAAATCGAAACCGCCTAAAATCCGATACATAGGGCGCCCTATGAAGATTTATTGAAGCCAGTATATGAGACATTTATTGAATTCTTTTGAATGGATATTCTGACAGGCCAAAAAAAAGGGGGAACAGACAAATCAAAGTGAGAGTAAAAACAAAATATCAGACCCTGAAGATTGATATTGATATACAAAGTAAAAAGACACATAAAAACTCCACGGCGGTCAGGTTGAGTCACTTAAGTTTACCATGCACTATGACCGAAGAGGCAAAAGACAGTCCACCATATCATTGGTTTTAGAGATTAACGGCGGTACCACATGCGTGTGATTCTAGTGTGTCTCATCTTCTTCTGCAGCTGGAAGATACCGTACATCAGTGCCTCGGAAGTGGGTGGGCCTTGGTTTTGATTAGTCAATTGCAACAGCACAAGCACGAGGGAAGAGGAAAGTCTTACATCCAGGAACGTAGATATCGACCGGCACAACCCGGTCACAGCCACGCACGACCGAGTAACTGTAGTGGTAGTAGCCACCACCGTTGGCACAACTGCCCATGCTGATAACCCACCGGGGGTCGGGCATTTGATCATAAACCTGGCGGAGGGCAGGGGCCATCTTGTTCGTCAATGTACCGGCCACAATCATAACATCGGATTGACGCGGAGAAGCACGGAAAATGATTCCAAGACGATCCTGATCGTAACGGGGGGTAGAAAGGTGCATCATCTCGACGGCGCAGCATGCAAGACCGAAGGTCATGGGCCACAAAGAGCTTTGACGAGCCCAATTGGCAATCTGATCGAGAGTGGTCCTGTGTAATGTAGGGTCAGCGGGAGGCCAAGGCGCATACAAGATGAAAGTCGTAGAGGGCAAACGAACAAGGCATATTGCATAGCACCCTCCTTCTTCTCCTGACTAGGCAAAGGCACCTCTCGGCGGGCCTTGCCTGACGCGGTCAATTGCTGGGCGGCTGCTGATGGTTGACGCTCGAGCGCTGTCGCTGATTTGATTGACGAAGTCGAGAGGGCCGCGAAGGGTTGAGCACGCGGGAGGGAGGCAACGAAACGGGGTCGCGCAGCTGATTTACGTTAGGGAATTGACATGTCGATGAGGTGAAGAAGATCCCTACCGCACAGAGCGCCAGAGATGGCGGGCCTCGCCATCGGAAGCATCTTGAGAAAAGTCTCTTCGGTGGAGAGAAACAACTAGAATAGAAGGTCGTGATCCCGGAGGTTAAGGAACAAGGTAATTGCAGCCTTGGCCAGTGACGACAGGTAATATAGAATTACAAGAGGGGAGAGGTGGCGGGCTCCGGGTAACTGCAAGACAAGGAGAACCCCAAAAAGGTTCCGATTCCAGAGTGGAAGAAGATGATGTATACCGACGGTTTTATGGAGATGATGTAAGCTATTACCTCACACCTCATTGGCTCAGATGCTGTATTTTTCAATAACGGAACCTGGTATGGTAAAAGCGGTGAGCTGCTCGTAAATGGAATTGTCTGTGTGGTCATTGGCTCTTAGCTCCTTTTTCTGCCTTGATGCCTGAACACGGCTTCTCCATAGTTAGCTACTCGAGTTATGCCGCGGGGGATTGGAGACAACCACTCAACTACTATCTACACTTTGATTGCAAAGTACCCGTCGCTTGAAGGGCTAGTCAATTCCAAAGCATTGTGGACATTATTTGGAGATATAATACCTACCCAAACTAAAACTCTCACTGATCACGGAGTCGAGACAAGGGAATCAGTCCCTAAACTCCAAGAGCTCAAGTGATTGCGCCCAGTCCGGATACATTGCCACTTCAAGAGCCTTCTCAGAAATGGCTGGTCCCAAAATTGCCTGCATTGGTGTGATTGGGAAGGCAGTATGTATATCACTCTGCCCACTTGTCCCTCTGCGATTGTCCATATTAACTCGATTGCAGGATAACCCTCTTCACATTTCCCTGTTTCCCCCATATTCGGATTCCACTATCGAATTCTCCTTCTTACTGAATTCCTGCCTCGACATTTTCGACATCCGGTGCAAACAAACATCCATTGATCAGGATCTAGGTCTATTACATGCAATTGACGAACGACTTGCGGCCTACGGATGGTTGACGACCACGGGAGTAAAACTATTGATCATTGTGGATTTATTCGGTCAGGAAGAGGCTAGCTCTGGAAAGCAAGCAGGCGCTGCGATTAATGGCTTGAGAGATTCTGATGTGAAGCCGGTGTGTTCTCCCTCGATGCCTAGCAAATGCTTATCTGCCGAAAGGTCTCAACCCCTAACTATTCCATATAGGCATTCCGCGCATTGCAGAGTGCATATATCCAACTTTTGCAGAATCCCTTCTATTCCCCCGACGACCACATACCGATTCCTGGGAACACAGCTTCTTCTTTGTCCGCTTGCCAGCCAATCTCTAACAAAAAGTTCGTCGCGGATGTTAAACGCATTGGGGATTTGTGGGCTCCAGGTACTTCTCTCTAGGGAGAGTACCACTTTGATGCAGATAAAACATAGGCCAACCAGTTTCCCCCAACTTACATTCGTATTAGACAGCAATAATCTCACCACAAACTGTTCGAACAATACCATATTATTTCTGTAGTAATTAAGCTACTTTGAATTTCCACTTCTGATGGTGTATAAGTCACGAGGATTCTGAATATAATAGAACAAACAGTAAAAAGATGATCATTTTGTCACCATGATAATTCGGGCCGGTAGTCTTCAGTTTCGACTTCAGTCTGCTCCAGGGCAACCATAATTTCTGACATTTCACGAGGGTCGCAAACAGCCCACACTCCACCACCTTTCGTGTCAACTCTCCCAACCTCTTTGCCGACCAAATTCCTACCGACCTTTCCTGGTCCAATTCCGATCCACCGTCTCACCCCTCGTTCCTGATCAAGATAGCGAATGCTATCCCACCATCTCACTGTATCAGTGCACTGTCTTGAAAGGAGATCCTTGATGTCTTCCTTAGACCGGAAGGGCAAGGCAGAAACATTCGATATGCATGGAATTGACGCCGGGAAGGTGATGTTGATTCTCTCGACTGAATCTCTCACATAATCCGCAGCTAGCGCCATAGCAGGGCTATGAAATGGGCTGTCACTTTTCAGCCTGACAGCCCGTGGGTCGTGACCTCCAAATTGACGCATCTGGACCAGAAGGATTTTGATTCGGTCAAGACTACCGCTTAGCACGATTTGATTTTTCGAGTTGATATTTGCGACCACCACTTGCTGAATCGATGGTACACGGTTATCCCTGTCGATTTCAATACCCGGTGACTCGAGGCCAATGAATTCCTGAACCGTTCGAAGCAAGCCTTCCAGGTGCTCGGGTTCACAGAGAAGTGCAACCATGCCATATGTTTCACCTGATCGCTCGGTCAACTGGCGCGTACACTGGGCCATCATTTCAGCCCGACCACGAACTAATTTTAAAGCGTCCCTGAATTCAAGATAGCCTCCGGCAACCAATGCGGAGAATTCCCCGAGGCTATGTCCAAGCGTAACATCGACCCGGGATTTAGTATCGAATCCGAACTCCTGCTCCAGGATACGAAGTATCAGGACTGAGATTGCCATGACAGCAGGCTGTGCATTTTCCGTTTTGTTGAGCTTGGAGTTGGGGCCGTCGGATATAATGCTGGACAGTTTGAACCCGAGGGTGCAATCCATCTCGTCCAAAACCTTAGCCGCGGTATGAGGAAAGCTTTCTATCCAGGTGTTGGCCATGCCAACCCTTTGGACTCCATGCCCTGTGGTGTGTATTAGCGGCCATTTTAAGATTCAAAGGTAAAGGGGGGATCGGGGATACAAACCTGGGAAAAAGAGGGCTGTGTGTAGGTCTCGTTTGAAGGGCAGGACATTAAGGTTCGTCGGTCTCGAAGGTGTAGACAAAACTTGTGATGTGACATGCACAATGGATCT